AAGCAGCTCCCCGCCCACCCCCGAAGGCCCTCCCTCCTCCCTCTGCCAGCCCCACCTCCCCTCCCTCCGGTTCAAAAGCAGCTGAGCTGAAAGAGCCCCCACAGAGCCCTGAGCCCATCTCCCAAAGCTGCTACCAACAGAGCCCGGCAAGATCTTCCAGGATGAACGGCTTCCTCTTCCTCCTCCTCACCGTCAGCCTTCTGGTGATGCTTCAGGTAAAGGCAGCTCCCCAGAGCCCCTGGCATGACCATCAGGACTCCCCTGGCCAGCTTGGCATGGGGCAGAGGGAACGCAGGCCCCTGAGCCCCCAGCCTTCTTTCATGGGGCAGAGGCAGGCAGGCTCCAATGGGGAACCGGGACATGGGGTCTTACCCGCCTGTGCTTCCAGCCCTTCTGGCTATGGTCGGGCTAAAGCTTGTGCTCCAGTCTCACAGGGTGCCACACACCCTGAGGTATCCATGGGTGTTGTGTGCTAAGGGTGCTGCACCCAAAAGCTTGCAATACTAGGGGATGAAGAGGGACGGGAGAGTGTATGTGGATGGCGTCAGCCCACAGCGAGCCTGGGGAAGCGGTCCTGCTGGGATGGGCTGAGGAAACGTCCCAGCAGCACCTGCTCTGCTTCTAGAGGTGCGCGGGGACCCCGGCCCCAACCTCCGCTGCAGGGAAGCTCGTGTGTACAGGAACGAAGGAGACTCCCATTCAGTTCCAAAGTCAGCTGCCGCCCTGGGAGGCACTTTGGTGGCATCCCACATGCCTAGAGGGGCTTGGAGACAGGAGCCGTGAAGTTCTTATCAGGAACAGCCTACTCAAGCATCAAGGACAGGGTGATCACCATCTGGCCATGTCCACCACCCCATCCACCCACTGACACTTTGCCAAGGGTGTTCTCCACCCTGTCTCATGGGACTTTCACCACTGTGACGGACTCTCCCCCGATTCAGAAGACGGGACACTGAGGCTCAAGGAGGCTAAGGCCCCGAGTCAGTGGCCTGGGACAGGTGAAAGGAAGTTTCCATGGTGGGGGATAGGGCAGAGGAAGGGACCATGTCTGCCCCTGCTTTTGTGAAGGCAGGAAGCAGTCAAACATCCAGACAGGACAGGTGGCAGAAGCTTTATGGAGGCCTGGAGTTGGGGGAAAATGGGGGGGATGCAGCCTTAACACGTGTAAGATTCAAAAGCCCCGAGTGCACCCTACTTCTCTTGCAGATACAAACTGGAGTCTTGCAAAACATAACCACCCCAGACGCCAGGTCCACCTCAGACAATAGGACCATCCCAGTCATCCTGGCCACTGCGAACTTCCCGACCATGGTTTTGACTACCCCAATGAAACCCGTGATTCCAGGCGTGAACCCAAGCACGACTGTAGAAGTGAACCCAAGTACGACTCAAGACGTGAACCCAGACGGAGTTCCAGGCAGGGTCACGGTCGTGGACCCAGGCATGGCCCCCCACACGAGCTGGGCCCCGCCCCCAACCAAATCCAAACCCAAAAACGGGGCCCCAGCTCTCAGCGACATGGATGTTGGCAGTTTCCCTTTCTTCCTGATCAATATTCTCATCCACCTCTTCTACCGCAGCTAAGGCAACAGTGTCACCTCTGGCGCTACACCCACCAAAACAGCTGCCATCATCACTAGCCAGAGGACCCTTCCCACCACCCCTGGGAGGGGTTGAAGCCAGGGATCCCAGGCGGCAGAAACTGACAGGCAGTGCCATGCGGGTGATGGCCAAAGGGGGGAGGTGCTAAGGTGGAGGGGCAGGTGCCACCAGCTCGGGGCCAATAAACCTATCTTTGTGTTTAGCGGGGGCCCATGTAGTCACTGGACATCACCAGCCCGGGAGCCAAGGAGCTCGCCACATTCCCATCAGCTGAGAAGGTATCCCCTGGGTGCTCCCCCAGCTTCACCACCCTGATGTCCATTGCAGAGGACCCTCCCCTTACCACCAGCTTCAAAGGACAAGGCCCAGAAACTGCCACCCTCGCCATCCCCTTCGGTCGCCCTGCTTCACCTGTCCCCAAGTGGGGGTGATGGTCCCAGAGACTCTACTACTGGATCCCCCCAGGCCCTGGACAACTCCAGGCCGGGACAGCCCCCGCCTCAGTACCTGGGTATCCCGGAATGATAGAGGAGGGGCGATTCCTTGTCCAAGGACCTGCACCCACCACAGGGCAAAGAGGCGGAGGCTGTCTACCCCCCATTCACCCAGCGAAAGCAGGAAGGACAAATAGCTGCTCTAAACAGCCTGTCCCTCCTGGGTTTGGGGTGCTGGTGTGTGGAGCTGCAAAGTGGGAAGAGGGTCCCAGAACAGCCCTTTCATGCAGAGGACATCGGTGTAAGGGCTGAGAAGTGGCTGCAGCACTAGATCTGGGACAGAGGGAGCCACACTCTCCCACACCTATCCTCTAAGTGGGTTAGGACCCCAGCTCCCATTCTGGCTTCTTGGGTTGAAGCCAAATCTTCGGGCTTAGAGACCAGCATTGGGAGAAGTGGAGAGGAGGCCTGGGGACATGGCTCCTCAGGTTGCAGCTCCCCCTCAGCCCTCCTCTTAGCCCACTATGCACCCACCGGTGAAGCTGTCACCACTGTATGTTTTGGTTTCGTTTGGTTTTCTGAGACAGGGTCTTGCTACATAGTCCAGGCTGGCCTTGAAGTCTCAGCAATCCTCCTGCCTCAGCCTCCTGAGTGTTGGGATTCCAAGTGCATACCACGAGGCCCAGGTTCATAGCCTGATCTGTCTGGCTCCATGGGACACTTCTTGTGCTACCCTATAGACTGGTCTGCAGAATGTCCCCAGGAAGCAGGCAGGGTCCTGCTCTGAGCATCCCTCCACTGTGTTCGTCTTCTCACTGACTGTGTCACCCTAGCTTTCTGAATCTTCCACTGTACTGGGTGTTCCCTGAGGGCGGGGACCACAAGCCTTGGTATCTGTTTGTGTTCCCACAGCCTGAGGCCACTTGTAGCTCAGGGAGGCTCAGAACACAGCCTGTGGATGACTCATCCCAGTGAGTCCGGTTGTCGAGCTCCCTCTGGTGGCCGAGGGGGATCATACCTGCAACCCCCAAATAAAAACAAACAGGGAAGAAGCCAGCCTGAATGTATGGGTAGAAGGCCAACGGACAATTCTCCTCCCGAACCCCAACACAGAGATGAAGATACCCAGCAGCACATTAGAAAACAGCTTATGTCACAACAAAAACCTATGAAAACACTGCATCCCAGCGAGAGCCCCCAGGGCTGGGTGAGCAGTGAGGTTCAAAGCACGTGGACGGTCCAGATTTGGGACGCCCTGTCCGTAGCCAGCTCCCACAGCACCACATGGTCCCGGTCATAGCCTCGGCCACCTGGGAGGGGATGGAGGGTTGACACGTGTTCAGCAAGAGCTGGGGACAGCACTGCCCTCAGCCCCCTCAGGTGCCCTCTCCCATGCACAGAGGCCCCATTACCCTTCACATCCAGGATCTGGCCTTCAAACATCTGGCTGCAGATGTGGCCCAATTCATCGATGCTCCATGTCTGGCGCGGCAGGCGGGTCTCGGCCCAGAGCACTACCTTGGAGCCTGGGCTGGGAGGTCCAATCACCTGTAGGCTCATCGTGGGGGCCACCTGAGGCCCAGAGGTCATTAGCACTGCTCTGCCCACAGGGATGCTGTCAGACCCAGCATACCTGGACACTCTGGGTGTGAACCCTGGCTCTTATGGGCTATGACCCTAGGCAAGTCTCTTAAGTCTCCTGAATTCAAGTTTCCTTGGGTCTAGGAAACCCTGAATACCGTTTTTTGGTTGTTTTTTTTTTTTTTAATTTAACATGAGAAACCATGAAAGGGCTGGAAAAACATTAGCTCTTCCAGGAAGGCTCCCATGATGGAGTCCCAAAACATCAGAAAAACCTCCACACATTTATTGGCTGCATGACTGTCAGTAAATGATTCAACCTCTCTGTGTTGGCTTTCATCACCCGTGGAATGGACAGTACGACAGGGCCGACCCACAGCGCTCTCTGAAGATGACCGGAGGCTCTGGTGTGAAGGTTGATATAGGGTGTGGCACTCAGCCAGTGCCACTCCCATGCCAAGCAAAGGACAAGACTCCCAGTGGCCTACAATCTCCTACACCCCCATAACCGTCCTCAACTCATCTCTTGCTACTTTCTCCCTTCCTCACTTCACTCCAACCACTCAGAGGCCCTTAGCAGGCCTGGAAAATGTCAGGTATGTTCACACTTCAGGGTCTTTGTACCTGCTTTTCCCTCTGCCTGAACGCACTCTCCCTGAGACATCTGCATACCGCCTCCTCAAACGTCACCTTCCCAGGCAGGGCTCCTAAAACTCCCCATCCTTTCTTGGTTTATCTTTCTTCTATCGCACTTTCAGCATCCAAGATAACTAGATATTTTGCTCATTTAAATTGCTTGTCTTTCTCTCCCTTGGTAGGCAGGAATCATTTCTGTCCTTTGACTGCTGTAGTTTCAGCAGCTGGCACATAGTAGGTCTTCAGGAGATTGTGGAGTATCACTATTAACAAATTCAAGTTCTAGGGATATAGCTTAGTGGCACAGCGCCTGCCTGGCAAGCACAAGGTCCTGAGTTAGATTCCTGGTTCAAAAAAAAAAATAGATTCACATTCTATCCCAGGATATCAGAACTAGGGACTCTTAGAAGCATCTGTATCAACACCAGTTTTGCACACTGAGGCTACAAGAAGAGACTTGCCCAGGGGTCCACGCCCGCCTTCTCCACTCCCCAAGGCCCTGGTCCTGTTCCTGACTGGCTGGGACTTCCCAAGGTGGGCTTGGAACACCTGGTGCCCAGGAGTCCCCGCCCAGGCCCCTACCTGGTTCTTTAGCAGCCCATCCTCGTAGTACCAGATGTAGCTGCCTCCAGCTCGGGGCTCAGAGACCACCACACGGCCCGCCTTCATGTCCTCCACATGGTCTGGCACTGCCAGGAATCCTCCCAGGGCTGCATTCCAGAGGCGGAAATAAGCTCGGCGCTGGCGATGGGGAGCAGCTGAGAGTTAGGGGTCCCCAGGCAAGGATGCCCTCGCCACCCTCAGCTCTGGATCCTCCAGGATTGAGCTCCCAAGACTCAAACTTTCCTCGACTCTCTTCTAAGCCACCCCTTGTCCCCACATACACACACGTGCACACACGCGTTCCCACTGCTCTGTGCCCATGGGGATACCTCAGGGAAGCGTGCAACAGGACACGATGACAGGTACAACCACGTGTCCCATGGAAAAGAGACAAAAAGTGTCCCAGAAATTCACAGAAGATGCAGACTCACTCATCCTCACGGATCACAGGTCTGCCCAGCCTACTGTGGACCAGATAATCAAGGATGCTACAAGAACAGATGTGTGCAGGAATACAGATGTGCAAACACACACTTATAGGGGAAATGCATACACACACGCACGCTGAAGAGAGGCCACAGTGGGGTGGACACTGGATTGCCAGACATTAGACCTGACTCTGCCACAAACCAGCCGGAGGTCTTAGATGATGGTGACAGTAACGACAATAGTAGAAACAATTATGGCTGACCTCTGCTGCGTGCTTCCTTCTCAAGCACCATTCCATTTTCTGGCTTTTTTTGTTTGTTTGTTTGACTGTTTGTTTGTTTGTTTTCTGGTACTGGGAATCGAACTCACGACCTTGCGCTTGCCTAGCAGGCACTGTGCCACTGAGCTAAATCCCCGGCCTCAAGCGCCATTCTAAGAGGTCTATGGACATTATGAATCTCAGTCCTCAAGTCAACCCACACTATCCCCATTTTAAAGATGAGGAAACGGAGGCCCGCGGAGGTCCAGTACTTGCCCAAGGTTGCAGAGCAAATCTTTGTCCACTTCTTTGGGCCTTTATTTCCCCATCTGTAAAATGTGAGCATGGGAGATAACCTCCAGGATTTCTTCCAGCAATGATATCCTAAGAGTCTGTGAATACAGGGACTACACAAATACCCTTGCACAAAGACACACTTGGCAGTATCAGGCACAAGCAGTCACAAAGCCAGTACACTCCCACGGATGCACACACACATGCATGCACACACACACACGTGGGTCACTTCTAGGGCACACGGACAATGGCCACAAATGATGTCACAGACACAGAAAGAGCCTCAGACAGATATGAGGGCACATGGATTGTGCACCACATGGATTGTGCACACATACGCACACACAGTGCCACCACAGAAATGCTTGTGTGCAGAAATGAGACCCATATATGGACAAGCAGGCAGACACGTGGACATTCATGAGCAGAGACTGTTTCTCAAGATGAGGGCAGTGGTACATGAGATGATTTTGAGTCTTGTGTGGAAAAATTATTTTTGAAAGCTTATGCAGACATTTTTGGGGTACGGGGGACTGAACCCAGGGCCTCAGGCATGCTAGGCAAGTGCTCTACCACTAAGCTACATCCCAAGCCCTTTATTGTTTGAAAATCTGGTGGTAACATATTTATTATACCTATTCAGACAAAAATCATATGCATACACATCAAATTCATGATTTTAGAGATATCATTCCTTTTTTTTTTTTTTTTTTTGTCTTTTTGAGACAGGGTTTCACTCTGCAGTTCAGGCTGGGCTTGAACTCACTTTGTAGCCCAGGCGGGACTCAAACTCACGGTGATCCTCCTGCCTCAGCCTCCCGAGTGCTGGGATTACAGGCATGCGCCACCACACCCAGCCCAACAGATATCATTCCTTAGGACAAGGATAAAGTAAAAAAAAAAAAAAAAAGTGAGTTAAATTGGACATGATGCCACACTGTTATAAATCTCCTGGGCTGCTGAGGCAGGAGAACTGCAAGTTCAAGCACAGCCCGGATGAAAGAAAAAAATACAAAAGGGCTGGGGATGAAGCTCAGCGTGAGTGTGAAGACCCTGGGTTCAATCCCCGATACCACCAAAAAGAAAAACAAAAAAATCGAAGAAAGTGAATTGACATAGAGAAAACTGTTCACTAGATAACTGTGCAAGAAGAGCGGTGATGGAGCCCACGCTGTGACCATTTGCACACAAAGCCAAGCTTGGGAAACACACAGATGCGCACACTGGACAGAGCCATCCACGTACCCACCCCAACCGGCTACCCACCTGCTTGATGGGGTAGAGGGAGCCCACCCGCTGGGTGCCGCTGTAGGTCAGCCAGTTAGTGATCTCGCAGCTGCTCACCAGCCACTGGTGGCCCCGAAAGTCGCTGTGCTCACACAGCACCCAGCTGGGGCCAGCACGTGCCACAGACCCAAGGAGGAACACAGAGAGAGACAGACAGACAGAGACAGACGGAGGAGGCAAGCGTCAGAATGATCTTCCCTCTTCTTCTCTCAGGCTGGGACTCTTCCGCCTAAAGGCAGGGTCCCAAGCAAGGAGAAGGAGGCTGGGAAGTAGTTCAGGGGTTTGCAGGGAAAGGGAGGGTCCTGAGGGGCCCATAGGGGCTGCAGTCCAGGCCCTGAGACACAGTGCTGCCTCTCAGTCTGCTGTTCCCCCTCCTTCCCCACTTGCGAGTGGGGGACTGGCTTGGGGAGGGGAAGAGACCCCTGGGGTACCCATCCCTCTGCTTACCCATTCCTGCTGGCAGCCCCCCCCAGCCAGGCCTCCCGCACATACTCACACACCACCCTTGACCCGCACGGACAGCACGTGGTTGTTGAAACCCTGGGCTTGCAGGCTCCGCACCTCCCCGCTGAGCTCGATCTCCTTCCCCTCGAAGCACTCCAGTCCGTACAAAAAGATGGCAGGCTCTGAAAAGTGCTGGGGCCAGCGCGAAAGGGGTGAGGCCATGATGCTTGGACTCCCCTCCCCAATCGATCCTATAAGCCCTAGATGCTCCTGAGCTCGCTGTTGACTCCGTAACACTGCTGGGTGTCCCCACATTCTCACATGCAGTTGTACCAGATGGGCCCTCTGCCTCCCTCTCAAAACGCCCTCGCTGATAAATGGCCTTTTTTTTTGAGACAGGGTCTTGCTCTGTAGTGCAGGCTGGCCTTGAACTCCCTATGTATCCCAGGCTGGCCTCGAACTCAGTGCTCCTTCTGCTTCAGCCTCCTGAGTGCCAGGATTATAGGCATGTGCTGCCATGCCCAGCATAAACGGCACTTGTATGAGCAAGGGCCAGGCCATAACCAGGGACTTACTCTCCAACCTCTCCCTTCCATCTTCCCAACTGTAATAATCACAGTACTCGTAATAATGGCTGTGCTCACTGATTGAGTTCACTGCATGGCGGATACTGTGCTGAGTGCTTTATCTTATCTCCCTAATAGTATCACTCAACAGCCCTGTAAGGGACACGCTATCAAGATCCCCATTTGGCCAGGCATGGTGGCGCACGCCTGTAATCCCAGCACCAGAGAGGCTAACGTAGGAGGATCATTGCGAGTTCAAGACCAGCCTGGGCTACAAAGTCAGCTCAAGGCTAGCCTGAACTGCACAGCGAGACCCTGTTTCAAAAAGACAAAAAAAAAAGTCCCCATTTGGCAGAAGGGAAACTGAGGCTGAAGTAGGTGAAACTGCTTGCTTGAGGGCCTAAAACCAGGCTTCAGAACCTGGGCCATCCATCTTCAGAGCCCAGCAAGCCAGGCTGCCTGTTCCCAGCTGTGCATCCTGGCGCACGTGGCTGGGTGGCTCTGTGCCTCAGTTTCCACATCTGGAAAACGGAGCTAACAATGGTTGCGGTGAGCATTCGAGGCCTTGGTGCGATGGAAGCTCATGCACATCGTGTGCTTGGCGAGTTCTGACCGGCTGCCCGTTCAGGAGCCAGCCCCCACGACACACAGGTGCAAGTGCCTTAAGAAGGCCCACGTCACTTGTGCCATCTCTTCCCTGGTCCAGGGTGTCAGCACTCCTCTGGTCCCTGAAGCAGCCACCCCCTGCCCCGCCCCTCCCATGTGTCCTCTGCACAGCCACCTCCGCGGTTGATCCTAACAGCTCTCCATGCACAGGACTTCACCCGGGCCACGCTGCCCTCTCCCGCCCCCGGAGCACCAGTCCCTCTTGACTCTGCACCATTTCTACGCCTGGACACACCACTCGCCCTGCGAGATTTTAGGAGAGTGTGACCGTGGGGTCCTTGAGGGCAGAGCTGTGTCTGGCTTTTCCAGTGTTCCCAGGACCTATCTCAACAGGTGCTCGATAAATATATAGTAAGCCGAGCTCGCTTGGAAGCCCCAGAGTTGAGGGGCAGCTCTGAAAAAGACCCAGCCTACAAGGCAGTGAGACGAGGCTCAATGCCGCCTCCGGGGCAGCCCTGAACTGGACTGCGACACTCACCAGAGGCACTTTCCGGAGAGAACTCAGGAGCGTGGAGGCCAGGCAGCCCATGGCCATGAGAGTAGGGAACTCGCCCTCAGAGAGGATGTGCTGGTCCCCCTCGAAGTTCTTCCCATCAAACAGGATCCAGCTGGGGAAGGGAGAGTTGGGGAAGTCATCTGAGCCTACCCGATCCCAGACCAGGCAGCTCACCCTGCGATCCAAGAGGGGATGTAGGGTTGCTTGCCTCCCCCCTACCCTAGTCCAGGGAAGGTCAAGGATAAAAAAGCACTGCAGGAGCAGGGACTGACGTCAGACTTAAGGCAGGACTGAAGGAAATCCTACTGCTGCTTTGGAGGAGAATTTGGCAATTTCAAACAACATTCCTTGGGCAATTACTCGGCAATCTCTCATCTAGGAATCTGTCACAAGGATACCCTCCAAAAAAGCTAAACACAAGATCATGCATTACAGCACGGTTTGCACCAGCAAGAGTAGAACTGGCCCGGTTGTACATCAATAGGAGATTTGCTGAATGAACTCTACCATTTAGTGTTGTTTAGTCTATATACTGGGTTGTAGAAAGCTCCCTTTTGTATAATAAGGGAGAGGGAGAGAAAATGCATTTGGTTTCTATATAAAAGGTATAGAAACAGGGCTGGGGGCATAGGCACCTGCCTGGCAAGCGCAAGGTCGTGAGTTCGACTGCCACTACCGCAAAAAAAAAAAAAAAGCATAGAAACAAAATGTATTCAGTTATATGTGAATTTACATATGAATGTATATTTGCTTATATCTTCAAAAAGAAACAATGAAAGAGTAAGACAAACACCAAAAAAAAAAAAAAAAAGAGTACTTCCCTGTAGGGAGAGGAAGGAGAAAGGCAGCAAGGGCAGAAATGGAGGTTGTAGGTTTGGAATTCTTACAGACTGAATACCTATGCCTTGTCCCACCCCTCCATCACACACTGAAACCTCAACCCCGAGGTAATAGTGTTGGGAGGCAGAGGCTGCGGGAAGTAATCAGGTTTGTACGAGGTCACTAGACTGGGACCCTGTGACAGGATGAGTGTCCCTCCAAGTGCAGACAGACATCCTGCTCTCTCCAGTATGTGAGGACCCAACGGGACGGCAGCCTTCTGCAAGTCATGACGAGTCCTCACTGGGGAAATGAATTAGTCAGCACCTTGATCTGGCACTTGCTGCTAGAACTAAGAAAATAAATTTCTGTTGCTTAAGCCACACAGTCTATGCTATCACGGCAGAGCAGCCTGGGCTAAGACAGGAGCCATGCAAATTTTGAGACATTTTTGAAAACTCTGCTCCTGGCACAGTGGCACACGCCTGTAATCCTCGTACTCAGGAGGCTGAGGCCGGAGGACTACCAATGCAAGCCTGGGCCATATTGGTTTTTTGTTTGTTTGTTTGTTTTAATGTAATTAGCCCAGCATAGTGGCGCATGCCTATAATCCCAGCACTCAGGAAGCTGAGGCAGGAGGACTGTGCAAGTTCTAGGCCAGCCTGGGCTACACAGTGAGTTCAAGGCCAGCCTGATTTGCATAGCAAGACCCTGCCTCAAAAAGACAAAAATAAGTAAATAAAAATAAAATAATTAATTTTAAAAATTACACCCTAGAGATGTAGCTCAATGGAAGAGTACTTGCCTAGCAAGTGGGAGGCCGTGGGTTCAAACCCCAGCACTTGGGCGGGGGTGGGGGGCTGGGGGCAGGACTGGAACTAAATAAAGTGGAAAATATTCCTAAAAATTAAAATTGAATCAATAAACCTACTGGTGACATAACTACACAAAATAAGATTTATTTCAAATGTCCTTAACACACAGTATCATGAATAATATATATCAAGTGACATACATATGGAGAGAATGTTTTGGGGACAAAAGGAACCACAGAGAAACCTCAAATAGCTTTTAGTGGTTTTTACTATTAGTAATACTGATATTAAATTTTGAAACACCTAGAATGCATATTCTGGTCTCTAAATACCGTTTCCTACTCAAAAAACCAGAGTTCCTTGACAAATGGTTGATTCCAGGTTTGGGGCAAGAAATGTATAAAATACAGCCAGCCAGGCACAGCGGTGCAAGACAAGAAATCCAGCACTGGGGAAACTGATGTAGGAGTTGGAGTCCTGCCTGAACAACTTAGTGAAGTTCTGTCTTTTTGAGACAGGGTCTTGCTGTGCAGTTCAGGCTGGCCTTGAGCTCACTTTGTAGCCCAGGCTCCTCTCGAACTTGCAACGATCCTCCTGCCTCAGCCTCCCAAGTGCTGGGATTACAGGCGTGTGCCACCACGCCCAGCTGAAGTTTTGTTTTAAAAAAAAAAAAAAATTAAAAGGGGGTAGAATGTCTTTGGATTCAACCCCCAGGACTGAAAACAAACACAGAAGAGTGAAAGAATGAAAAAAAGACAGGTTAGAAGATGCTACTCATAGTGGCACATGCCTGTAATATCACCTAGTCAGGAGGCTAAGGAAGGACAATTGCAAACTCGAGTCCCGGCGGGTAACTTAGTGAATCAGCTCAAAGGTGCCTCCTCGCCCCGCCCCCCAGAGCTCCACCCCCTGCACGTCCTCACCTGCCTCCGAGGACCCGGCAGGACTGCGGCTGGAAGGAGGCGGGCAGAGAGGCTTGGTCATCCTCGAAGCAGATGTGGTCGCCCAGGAAGTCGGGGCCTGAGAAAAGCTGAATCTGAAGGCAGAGAGGGAGATAAGAGTGAAGGAGGGTGAAGGAGCGGGACAGAGGGGCTGGCGAGAAAAAGGGATGAGAGCTTTGACATGAGGGAACCGCTTCCGAGACTGCCTCCTTACCTTTGAGACAAAGTGCAGATCGTGCTCCCCGACCTGAAGGAAGGGACCAGTTTCAAGACTCAAGGAGGCTGTCAACCCTTGGCCCCTATTTATTCCGCTAGGTTTCGACGTCACCAACCCAGCGGTACTTGCTGGGCTTCCCTCCGGAGCAATGACCCCACCTATCCTCCAGATGCCCCGCCCACCCACATGCCCCGCCCCGATCAATGCCCACTAAGTCCCGCCCCCTTCCAGGCCCCGCCCACCACCTGCACACACCTGCAGTACCGGCTGCAGCGAGGCGAGGGCGCTGTTGCCCGCGCCCCAGTCGTCGCAGTTACGGTACACGCCCTTCTCCAGCACGTACTGCTCGCCGGAGAAGCCCACCTGCTCATAGGCCACCCACCTGCAGGAAGAGCGAGGGTCAATGGGGCGAAGCTGCACCTCTCCCGCAACCGCCCTCGGCCCCGAGAGCCGGGCGGGATCACTTACACGCCGCTGAGCACGTGGATGGCCTGTGTGTGGGGCCCGTGTTGCGCTAGCTCCACATCGGGCAGTGCCGTGCTCACCTCCACGCAGGGCCCTTGGAAGTCCATGGCTTCAAACAGCACCACGGCTGGGTCCCCGAAGTCCTGGGTCCAGGGGATAGACGGTGTCTGCAGCCCGTGACTGGAAACACCTAGGAGTGCCCAGACCCCAAGGACGCAGCCCACTCGAGGAATTAGGGGTGAAGCCATCAGCGTGGCCCTCATCGAACACTCGGAGAACTGGGGGAGGGGCTCGGGTTCTTCCCTCTGACTGTGCTGGGGCAGTCGGCTGTGACCAGAGGCAGCCGCACAGACCGACTGCCCTGGCTTACCGTCCGGATGATCCGCAGGGAGGTCAGCAACTCGTCGTAGCCTCCCCAGTGCGACCAGTCAGCGTACTCGCCCTCCTCCAGCAGGTACTGGTGGCCGCGGAAGCCCGGCTTCTCGTAGCCCACCCAGCTGGTGGCAAGGGAGAATGGACACACTCAGTTACAGGAAGTCCCTGGATAGACCGCTACCCCTCCCAAGACAGAGGTCGCATCCCATCCCCAAGGCAACAGTCAGTACGGGTGATAAGGTAGAAGAAATCACCCTAAGGCCTCACCAGCCCCCTAGGACCCGCAAGGACCCCACAGATTCCAGGTTGGGGCTCTGGCTGTCCTCTGGCCGCCGAAGGTTGTAGATGTCTCTGCTCACTTCCCAGCTCTTGCCCTGAAATCCTGGAGCCTCATACACCACAGCCTTGGGGGGAAAGAGGGTGTCAGGTCGCTGTGGTGTCTTTGGACTCAAGACAAACCCAGCCAATCCAGGAATGGCTGTGCCCAGTACCAGGCTCAATGAGCTCCATCCTGTCTCTACTCTGACCTCTGCCCTGTCCTTACACTCAAAAGCCAGTTCCCAGTGAGCCCTTCGGCTCCAGCCTCCCAGACCCAGCTTCTGATCCCCCACCCTCCCCTCCTGTCTTGCCATCCCGGCCGTGATCACCACCCCACACGACAATGGCCCCCTTGACCTTGAAGCCCAGCTCCTTACCTTGGGCTCCCCTGGCTTCTCCACGCTCGGACAGCCCTGTAGAGGAGACACTGCTGAGACACCAGCCCAGAGGTGGGGAAGACATATAGGACTGCGGACCTAGGGTTCTCTTGATCCTGAGACCCCTAAAAATGGCAGACCATGCCCTTCCTCTCCCTGACCCTTTGGATGAATCCTCTCTCCTCCAGTCCCCAGGGTTGTCTGCCAGGAGCCCTGCTCCACACTCCAGTCCCCCTCTCCTACCCACAGACGCAGGACCATGCTACCTGGGGCCGGGGACACGGTGGCCTGTGGGTGTGCCCTGCTCCTTACCAATCTCATGGGCTTCAGGGAGCCCACTGTGGGGTCTGGTGTACCCCAGGCCTCCAGAGTAGGGTACTCTCCAGGCTCCAGGATATAGGGGGTGTCTTCAAAGAATGGTTTGGGGTACAGCATCCACCTGGGGAAGGTAGAAAGGCTGTTGCACCCCACATCCCAAGGGTGAAGTTGGGAAGTTTAGATCTCTCACCACTCACCACTGCTTTCCCCATTCATTCAGTATCAGGTACTCAGGGCATGGACCCTGAGCTAGCCCTGCTCCCAGCATCATCCGTACAGGACTGACCAGGCGTACAAACTCCCGCCCTCCTGGAGATTAGGTTCTCAGAGCGCTCATCCCAGCTGAGATGTCTCCCCCTCCAGGAGGGCTTCTTTGACTCTCCCCTCACCCCACCTTCAGCCAGTTCAGTGCTTTTCTGTGCTCCTGAAACCTGTGCTCCCCCTCCACACACAGCTCTGGACTGCCACTGTCTATTTGCCTGTTCCCACAGTAGACTGGGCACTTTCGAAGGGAGGAACTGCGTCCTGTCACCTGTGTCCCCAGACCCAGCATGGTAATGAATGTTATATCAAGGGATTCCAGAACAGCCCAGACTCACAGTCCTGCAGAGACAGTGGCAGATGCCACTTTCAGGGGCCTCTCCAGGCCCCCAGGGTCCTTCAACGCCTCGGTTAGCTTCACCTGCTCACCCTGGAGGCCCTCCTCGGAGAACAGGATGATCTCCGGGGCACAGTAGTCCTGAGGAAAGAGAAGCAGGACAATGAGGTGTAAAGCAGCGCCCTCTGGAGATTACTGTGCCCTTCTCCTGCTTCCCCAAGCTTGTGCAACCAGAGCTGCAGGGGGCTCCTGGAAAACCTTTCTGGCTGTCTCCCCCAAAACCAGGGAGGCACCTGGGGTGTTCTTGCAAGATCAGCTAGCCAAGCCTGAGACCAAAGTTCTTCACCCACCCTTGGGACCTGAAACCAAAGATCCCAGGAGAAGCTGCAAAGCTTAACACCCTTCCCTTGTGTTTGCAGCCTGACTTCCTGCCTGGTGGGAGGATGAGCAAGCTGGTAAGCCACTTCCTGAGGCCCAGCTCTAGGTGCATTTCCAGTCTCCATGCTGACTGTTTTGCTGTTACTATTGTTGTTTTATTTTTGGTACTAGGGAGGGGAGGACCTCAGGCATGCTCAGTACATGCTTCACCCCTGAACTGACTACCCCTCCAGCCCTCCAGACCAGCTTTGACTGGTGTCTGAACCGCATCACAGATAGCGGGTCTTCACTACTTTTTGAGTGTTTCTCTATCCCCAGCACCATTTTCATTCACTCATTCATTCATCAAGTGACTAGGAAGCATTGCTGAGTGGGGCTCTACGCTAAGGCCATGTCTGCCCAGTCCCAGTCCTTCCCTGAGGTGGGTGCTATGAGTCCACTCAGAGCTGAGGAAAGTGAGGCTCATCGAAATGAAGCAAACTGCCCAAGGTCACAGAGCTTGTAAGCAGCAGAGCCCAGAACAGAGCAGCACAGTTTGGGTTCAGTGTTGCAACCTGCACCGCCCACCTACCTGGCACACAGTAGGTGCCCACTCAGTGCTCAGTCCTAGGGTGTCTTAAGTTCAAAGCCTTGCGTTTCTCTTGTACCTCATTACCTCCCACACGAAGGCGAATTTATTGTGAGTTTCTCACAATAAATTGTCTATAAGCAGGCCGGCTTTGCAAACAAACTGCTGTACCCTGCTCCCGGGACACTGTGTCAGCTGCAGCAGGGCGATTGCAACAACTCTAGACTTAGTTACTCAGCCCTTGCCTTAAAAACAAAAACAAACACCCAAGCTAGACCCTGTTTAGGCTCACTGCTCTTTCTTCTGGGTCTCTCTGGGGGTCAAGGTTATTTTTATCGTGGGTTAATTCATGCTCTGAAAACAAAGTTGTTTTTGGCTTTACGAAAATGAAATTGAAATGTTGACTTTTCAAACTCTTTCTCCTCCCCGGACCCCCCAAATCTCTGGGACACTCTAAGTAGCCCGGTCTGTCTCCCTGTCTTTTTTTCTGACATCCAGAAGGGTGTTCCTAAGTCCCCAGTCTGGTGACGAGGTCTGACTGGTGGGCAGGGCAGAGAAGCCCCTCACCCGCCATTGCCTGGCCCAGGGAGCAGCACGCAGCAATTAGCCAGCATCTGTGAGCAAGCGAGAGAACAACCCATGGCACCTTGCACTGGGTGCTGGGCAAACCTGGCCCATTTCTGCCACTCAGACAGCGTTCTGCCTCAGCACCAGCTCAGACATTCCCTAGGCTGCTTTCTCCAGCTGGGGCTTGGCCTGGGCCTGGCCCTGCCTCCCCCCAGACTGGACACACCCCAGGGCCTCTTTCTTCCCCCATGGCCCCAAGGTTAGGAACCTACAGGTGGACCACAGGGAAGTGCCTCTGCTCCTGCCCCATACGCCCTCTCCCAGAGTTCCCACTCTAGGCGCCCCAGGCTGCCCCTGCCCAGCCCGCTCACCCGGACGACCCGCCGGAGGGAGCCAATGGCTCCAGTGCTCCACGCTGGCCGCAGGGCTCTGAGGTCCACATCTCCTTCAGGCAGGACCAGCTTCTGGCCCTGGAACTCCGGCTGTTCGTACAGCACCCAGCTGTGGGCACAGAGACCCCAGGTCACAGTTGGGAAGGAGGGTGTACCCGCGGCCTCTGAGTAGCTGATGGAGTTTCTTCCAGGCTGAGGGCCCTTTGCAACCCTAGGGCCACAGCCGGACTCACTCACCATCCTCGCACCACCCTTATGGAGGCGACAGGGTCCCAGCCCAAGGCGTCAGCAGTGTCTTCCCAGACCTCCCTGCTGCTGCCTTGGCAGCCGGGCTCTGAGAAGAAGATCACCTGAGAAGGCAGAGCACACGTCTTCAGGCTCTGTCCCCAGGCCCCATCTCCTGCCACCCCTGCCCACTTGCCCCACACACTAACCTTCCCAGGCCTGGTGTTCAGCTTGCCCTGGGTTTTCAAGGACGGGCTCTGGAACAGAGGAAGTAATAAGAAGTCTTACGGGATCACCTACCTACTGTTCCCCACAACACAACATTCTGTGGGGGCCAAGTCCTCCCTATTGCCTCCGCCTCCAAAGAGCTGGTCCACAGAGGATGCCACACTTGTTTCCCACTCCCAGGGGCCTTTTCTGCCCCTTCCCCAGCTTCCAGGACATGGGAACCACCAAGCCCTTCAAAATCCACAGTAAAAACTTCTGTTGTACAAACAGGGAGACTGTAGCCCAGAGAGATGTGGCTTGCAGGTGAACTGAACTGCACCTCAGAGCCGAGCCTCCTTCCTGCCTCCAGGAACTCTGACTCCCAGTACCAGTCTCCTCGTACCACCCAAACCTCGACCTAGGGGAGGCCAGGAGCCTGCCCTGCCCACCCAAGGCCTCACTCACCCACCCCTCCAGGGGCTGGGCACGCGTCAGCTTCTCGGGTGGCGGCCTTCCGATGCAGAGCAGGGGCAACTGTCCAGGCAGCTTCCTGAGCCCCGGTGCCCCATGGGGTGGCAGAGCAGATAGTTTTGAACCCAGTGGTTCCAGGGTGGGGGCCTCCTTGCTGTCAGGCACCAGACCGCTGAAAAGAATGCTGCCACCAAGCCGCGAAGTGGGCCGGGTGCCAGTCTGCCGCTCCAGCCCAACTTCTGCGTGATGGCTCCTGGCATCTGCTACATGCTTCTTCATCATCTCCAGGGGTGAGCGAGAGCCCTGCATGGGTCTGGCAGAATGGGAGCCCCAGGAGGGGCTGGGTCCTGCTTTCTCCAGCCTGCGCTGGAGCTTCTCATCATCGCTCAGGTAGGGGTTCTCTGGCTCCTCCTCCCCACCCCCCTCCTCCTCCTCATCCTCTTCCTCCTCCTCCTCCTGCAGGGCAGGCACCTCCTGGGGAACAGGTCCCAGCACCCATGGCCCAGGCTGGTCCTCCTCAATGGCGGGCAGTGTGGCATACATGGCCAAGTAGGAGGAGCGTGGGGCTCGGGGCAGCCGGTGAGTGCGGAGGATCTCAGGGGGCTCCATGCTCCGCAGTGTATCCAGGAAAATCTCTAGGTCAGCGGCCAGGGCCATCTCGTCCTCCTCACTCGGTGGTTCTGGAAGTGGCTGGCCCTCAGCAGAGTCAGGGACAAGCTGGGCCTCCACGCTGGCCTCTGCTTCCACTGGCATTGCAACAGGGGTGCCTCCGAGACTGGGGAGCTCTTTGCCCACTGAGGAGGACGGGGCGAGAGAAGCAGCAGGGCTCTGCAAGGCCTCTTTTTGAGTAGGGGATGAGGCAGGGCTCCCTTTGGAACCTGGGATGACCTCATCTTCTTTGGGGAGTAGGGGAACAGGAGTAGCTGGGCCTTGAGTAGTCTCTTGCTTGGGAAGGGAGGGGGCAGGGCTGCTTTCAGCACCCGAGACCACCTCCTTCTGGGTGCCAGGGCCTCTTTCTGGGCCCTGGGCAACCTTGGTTGGCTTACGGGACGAGGCATTGGGAGCACCAGGGCCTTGAGGTGCATCTTTCTGAGCAAGGGAGGAGACAAGCACATTCTCAGGGTCCTGAACAAACTGATTCCTTGGGGAGGAGGCAGCAGAAAGACCTGCTGGACCGGGGACAGTCTTCTTCCTGATAGAAGGTGGAACGAGGGGCTGTCCAGGCACTGTAACAGCCTTGCTCCTCTCCACAGGCGGCATGGGCACAGCAGGGGTTTCTGCAAGCCCTTCGCTCTCTATGCGGGGCAGGGCACGGGGACTGGGCTGGGAGGCAACCACAGGCTGCTCTGGGCTTTGGGCCAAGCCTGGGGAGGGAGCTCGGGTCTGGAGTCTAGGAGAGGAGGGCACTGAAGCTTGGCCCCCAGAAGTCTGGGGAGGCAGCGGAGTAGGGCTGGAGGCTCCCTGCACCCTTAGGGGCTCACAGGCCTTGGCATCCAGCGCCTTGCCCTGGTCTCGGTCTGGGCGGGCTGCAGGGCCGTCGCAATGCTGGGGTGGGCTGCCGGCAGGGACCTTTAGCTGGGCTGTCCCGGTCTCGGCCAGCTGCCCCAGGACTGGCTGCCCCATGCCACTCAGCCCCTGGCCCCTTAGCGCCACATTCGTGGGCCTGGGCAGGCGGCTGGCGGGAGGGCTGTGCTCAGCAGCCACCAGGCTACTCAGCAGCTCCCGGGCCTTGCTGTGGCCAGGTGAGCCGTCAGCCCGGGGGCCCACGACCACCGCCCGGACCGAGCGGGCCACGTGGCGGCCCCTTGGCAAGGTCTCCCCTGACAGCGTTGGCCCCACGGTCACGGAGCTGCTCATCCGGCGGTCCACGTGGCCCCCCACCACTGTGGTTGTGCGCACGGTGCGTGTCACTCGACACTCCTCTGCGTTCCAGGAGCTCCCCCCCGTGTGACTCATGCCTGGGTGGGGGCTTGGCTCCCGGGGCCCAGGCAGAGGCACCAACAGCTCAGTCCTGGCCATGGCTCCCATGCCTGGTGGCTCAGTCCTGGGAGCCTGTGGGACGCCGTCAGTCTGGTCCGCAGCCTCCTTCAGCCTCCCCACCGGCCTCTTCTCCTTTGGGAGCGGCGTGTACTTCTTGGAAAAGATGGGCCCATGGCTCTGGAAGTTTGTGGGGCCGGCCTCGTCCTGAAGGCCCTGGTGATTCACAGTCTCTTCTTCCCGAGTAGCGAAGCCATTGACTTCCTCTCCAAGGTGGGTGTACCCAAACATCTCCTCTCGGGCCCCCGACACCAGGGACACCTTGTGAAAACGGTGCCTAATTTCTTCCTGGGCTGGAGGCCGCTGTCGCCACGTCAGGGTGGCACTTACCACTCGGGCCTCAGCCCGGGCCGGAGGCCCAGCTGCCTCCTCCATGTCGGGTGCCGGCAACCTGTCCAGAGGTGTTCTCGTCACACTGTGGTCCAGCGCCCTGCAGAGAGTCCCGGAAAGAAGAGAGATGAGCATCAGAGGGCGTCGAGGATGGCGGGTCCCTGAAGCACAGAATAACTACCCTGCTGGGCGCTCTCAGGCATTCGCTCGACCTTTCGGTCTCTGTCTCCTTGTCTGTACAGTGGGTGTGATACTCCCAGTTCTGATGGGATTCACTCCTTACTCACCCCCCAACTGTCAAGGGATTCCCTCGGTTAAGGTCCTTCAAAGGCTGAGGCCTGAGCCTGGAAGGAGGGAGAAGGGAGAAAGCAGAGAGGAAGATGAGTGTGGCCTGCTGGCCCTGGCATGGCCTGGGCCTCTGCCCAAGCAGCCCGGGGTCTGGTCCTCCGGGGCCTGAAAACCAGAAAGGCAGAAACTGCACAAGTATTGTTCTCACCCATTCCTGCCAGATTCCTTAAAAGAGAAGTTCAGGAAAACTGGGCTTTGGGCTCAGGCACAGCTGGGCTCCCGCTGACCCTCTGCCCACTATCTGGGTGACCTTGGCAGGCCACCTCTCTTCCAGACCTCAGGGTCTCCAGCCACACAGCAGGAGTCCTAAGAATACGTGCTTCACAGGACCGTGCCAGGCAGGACGCGGTAGGGGGCAGAGAATGAAAACTTGCTTTTTAAACTAAAATGTTGGCTTATAAACATCACACTGTCATCTTGGAGGTTTGTGATCAAATGTTAGCAGGTATGCACACACATTACTACCAAGAGCATTGGTGATAACAGCCAGAGCAAGGGGCACATTTTGGTACATCTGTGGGTCTCAATGGAGCCCCTAAGGCAGTGATGGAAAACTTCGACAGCTTTCAATGATACAAACGATCTGCTGAGTCACACGTGTGATAGGTTCACCATCACTGCCTTTGGACACAGCACTTTGAGCTGTTTTTTTTTTTTTTTTTGGTGCCAGGAATCAAACTCAGGACCTTCTGCTTGCCAGGCAGGCGCTTGTGCCACTGAGCTATATTCCCGGTCCCTCACTCTGAGCTTGATATGCACATTTCCCCCCATTCTCTCTGAAATCATTATTTTACCTCTGATATAGAAGAAACAGAGGCACAGAGAAGAGGTGTGGCTGATGCACCCAGGATGATGTACCCACTAAGTTACCAAGCTAGTGTTTGAAGTCACATCCGAATCCTTATCCTCTCACTCCTTGAGGGGTGGGGCCCAGGTCTTCTTTCTTTTCTGACCCTCTCTTGATCTCTCTGGTCATCTACAACCTACATGGGGGAAACGTACAACCCTGCCAGAGAGAACCTCTACTTCCCCAGGAACTGGCGATTCCTTCCTCTTAACAGAAATAGTAACAATATTGTCCTATTGAAACCTCAGAACGCCTGGCATGGTGGCGCACGCCTGTAATCCCAGCACTCGGGAGGCTGAGGCAGGAGGACCGTTGCGAGTTCAAGGCCAGCCTGGGCTACAAAGTGAGCTCAATGCCAACCTGAACTGCGTAGTGAAACCCTGTCTCAAAAAGACAAAAAAAAAAAAAAGAGAGAGAGCGAGAAACCTCAGAAGAACTTGGGAGTCTGTGACCTCAGTAAATTGTTACTAATTAGAATTAAACACTCCCATTTTGTACATGAGATTTTTAAGGTAAAGAATCGCCCAAGGTCACACAGAAGCAAGTCAAGTCCTTACCTCAACATTAAGTGTTTAACCACCTAGCAAACTCCTTAACTCCCCCCCCGGGGTAAACTGAGTCTCCAGTCTGAGCGTGCTGGAGGGGCCATCTCAGTCCTGGAGGGGCCCTCTACCCCCACTATCTGACTCCCAGGCTGCCCTGACCATGACAATCTTATTTTCAGACCCCACAGACCCCAGAGGTCTGCCTGATGTCCCTACTCTTGGCCTCGCCTGTCTCTCCAAGAGGCAGCCCTCGGCGGCCCCATCCTGGGCCAGAAATGGACCCACTGCCCCAGTTCCCCTCCCCTATCTCCACCCCGTCCATCCTGAGAAGCTGGTGGAACCCAGAACTTTGACCCTGCTCTGTGGCCCCAGCAATGAGTCAGGTTTTATGAGGAGCAAAGATGAAAGGGGCTGAGGCCCATGGAAGCCTGAGGACTCCTGGACCAGGGGGAGCTCTGACAGCGTCTGGGACAGAGCCTGCGGGACCCCGGACAGCCTCGGACAGGGAGGAGGGGGACTTAGGTGATCCCAATCCTTTCCCCAGGCCAGGGCTTCCTGAGAATAGGACACACCCCGACACCCTGCCCCTCCTGTCCTTTCTTCTCAGCGCACGTTGTCCCCCTGCCTGGCACTCCTCCCATGTGGAGCTTCGTCGCTCACCAAGGCCCTCTAAAGATGCTGTCCTCCCCACTGGGTCCCCTGTCCACTTTTGAGTGATACTAACAACTCCTCGCTGTTCACCAAGACTCTTTGTCCCTGATGCTGCTGATCGTAAGGGGCCAAACCCGGGTTCTAGTCCCCTAGTCCTGCACCATCTGTTAGTCATTCATTTCATGCTAAGCACAGCAGGCCATGCTGGGCCCTGGTTTCTCATGAAAGTAGTACCCTACAAACCCAGAGGAGAAAGAATCATATTTTTTTTTAGAAAGAATCAGATATTTAGGCTAGGCATGGTGAGCCCAGCACTCAGGAGGCTAAGGCAGGAGGATCATTGCAAATTCGAGACCATCCTGGGCTACAAAGTGAGCCCAAGGACAGCCTGAACTGCATATCGAGACCCTGTCTCAAAGAGACAAAAAAAAAAAAAAAAAGAGAGAGAGAGAATCAGATATTTGAGGGCTGGGGATATAGCTCAGCAGCACAGCACCTGCCTGGTAAGTACAAGGTCCTGAGTTTGATTCCCAGTACCAAAACAAAAAAAGACTCAGATATTTGAAAGGCCCCACAGACTCACAGGAAAGCAACCTGAAACGAAGCTATTGGTAATAGTCTTAGGTACTTCCTGTGAACTCCTGGCAATCAATTCCATACCTTTCTCAGCCCAACCCTCTCAGCACAACCCAACCCCTGGACAACACCCGTGACAGCCTCTCATTCCACAAGCATGTGGTCACGGGCTTCTCACATACTTCTAGGGACAGGGAGGTCACTACTTGACAATTCACCTGCCCCATCCCTGGATAGTCATGCCTGCTAGAAGGTTCTTCAAACTCTGCTGGAATCTGCCCGCCTAGCGCTCCCTGCTTTGCCCTATTCGGGAGACACACCCCACTAACCAGTTGCCTCTCCTGGGCAAGCAGATGTGCTCATTTCCAAGGCCCTCTCTTCTCCAAGGCCTCAGACCAGAAGTGGATTTGTTGGCAGGGTGACCTGTGGCCTCCAAACAAGGCTTGTGGGGTGGGAAGGGGTAAAGGGGAGTGTGGGAAAATCTTTGTCTAACCCAACAAGTCCTGGATCTCCCCGCTTATGCGTGAGTCACCCCCAAACTAGGCCAAACCAGTCTGCAGGCCTACATGCTGGCAAATACAGGCACACACAAGAGTCACATACAGCACAGGAAATACATACAGACACCTACCTAGAGAAGCACAGCCCGACACACATGTGCACACACAGGCACGCAGAGACACAACAGATATAACAAGTCACACAACGCAGACACACGTGCACACATTCTCAGTCCACACACAGTCAGCTCACAGGCATCAGCTCCCCTCCCCTTGAAATGCAGCTACACTTGGACACAGACTCACACATCTGGAGGCAAATTCATCCTACGTGTTCCCCCTTGCAGCCCCCGCTGGGTCCCACCTCCTCTCAGATCTGCAAATTCTGGCCTAGAGCACTTTCCTCTGGAAAGCGGACAGGGAAAGATGATGTCCCTGGAAGTCACCTTCCTCCCTCCCTAAGGGGGTCCCAGCCTCCCGTGGGAGTCTGCTATGACCCACTTGGATCCAATACAGCCAGGGAGTGGCAGGTGGAGCCCAGCTCAGGCTACTGCTCTGCTCCTTCCCCCTCTCCCAGGCTGACCCCTCACCTCCTGGTGTGTCCCCTAGATGGGGCACTGGACAGCTGTCCCTCTTCCTTAGCAGAGAGCCAGACCACTGACTTCTGCCCAGAAGACCTGGGCATCCCTGCCTCGGCCTCTGCTGGCACAGTGCCACCCAGCTCACCCCATGGGTTCCACAGCAACCACAGTTGCCCTCTGTTCTCACACAGGGCCCCAGAGGCCTCCTTTATGGGGCTGGATGGGAAAGTGGGCACAGCACAGGCGCTGGAGTTTCAGGAGCCTAGGATCAAATTCCGATTCCCTTCACTGTCCAGTTGGCTTTGGGCAAATGGCTCAGTCTTGCTGAACCTTAGCTTCCTACTATAATTAGGTGGTGGGATTAGCTCCTACTTCGTGGGACTGCTGTGAGGATTAAATAAAATTATGCTTAGAAAACAAACCATAAATGTCAGCCACCACCTTCATTATTAGGAGCTCCCCAGAGCCTGCCTGGTCCCGGGGCCTCATCCTGTGGTCTTCAGGGAGGTTCCAGGTTCAGCCCTCCTCCCTGAGTTTTGAGGGACCCACATTCCCCGCCATGGAGCCCACCAGGCAGGAAAGCCAAATAAAAACCAAGGCCCTGGAGTCTCGGCGCCTATTCCCGTGGCCGCCAGCACAAAGCCAGGTGGGGTAATTATTGCTGCCACTGAGGTATAATTAATAAGCATCCCTGCTATTTTGGCAGCCCAGCTCTTTGGCGTTCAAAGGATGTTCCTGTAACCTGACTACCAAATCCCCTTCAACAACACAAGGCCCAGAGAGGTTTAGCAATTTGCCTCAAGACAGCCAGCAGCTTGGCTGGGTGCCTGTTCCCAGGCTGGGTCTGTGGCCTCCCGAACAGAACTGAGGAGCAGTGGGTATTGCTGAGAAGAAAGTGACCCCCTCAAGCTGCCCATCTTTTCCATGACAAGATTGCTCTTCCTTGCATGGGCAGGGGCAGAGCGCAGCAGAGGGTGCCAGGGTACCTCCCGGGAGGGAGGGAGGGAGGGAAGACGGAGATGAAGGGGGAAGGGTGGCAGAGTCAGCTTCCGATCAGGTGCCAAATGAATGAGCCTGCAGTCCGAGAAAGGCAGAGACCCAAGAGGCAGCAGCCAGCCGCCAGGCTCCCTTCCCACCATCAGACCCCGGGAAACAACCCTACTCACCTTCCGTGTGGGGACCCAGGCTTCTGGCCGGCCTGGGCCACACTCCCCTGATGCAGCAGCAGGGCTCTCAGCTGGGGCTCCTGGGGCAGGTCTGTCAGGCACCCCGTGACGGGGCGGAGCCCCTGGGGAGGCTCCTGCCAGCCCCTGGATTCCTCAGGGCCGCAGGGGTGGGGAGCTGGTTGGGCCGGTTCCTCACCCTCCTCCCTAGGTGTCTGCCCACACCCCTGTAGGGTGACAGTGATGTGGTAGCGGGTCCTCCTGGCCGAGCGATGGGACTGTAGGGCCGACTCTGACTGGACAGGCCCTGGGGTGTCCCGCTCGCCCTTTGCCCCTTCCACCTCAGGGACGGATGCTGGGCGGGGCGGCGGGGTTGTGTTTTCCAGATTGCTGGGAGGCTCCAGCCTCCGAGTGACAGTGACGTCTGAGGCTTCACGTGGGGGTTGCTGGCAGAGGCGGCCTGGGGTTCCCTGTTCCATAGGCCCCAGGAGTGAGGGGTGCTGGGCACCATCGGGTTCTGCAGAGGCCGCAGCCGGGGCCAGGTCCCCGGGTGTCACGGAGGTGTAGTTGGCCAGGTCCGAGGCGCTGCCCACGGCTGGCCTCTGCAGGCGCCCCAGGGGCTGGGCAGGTCTCCTTGATGGGTGCCGTCTCTTCCCAGACCAGAAGCCACCGTGGCTCCCGACCCGAAGGTCCCATTCTGACTGGCTCTGGGCTTGCACCTGGGGAAAACCAGAAGCAGGGGAACACAGTGACAGCGACGGAGAGGCACGGTGAAGGCGTCTCCCCTGTGTCCTCCATGTGCCCCTCGATGCCCCTCTCTGCCCTCTTTGACACAAAGGAAGCTAAGCAGGGGTCTGACACCCAGCTGAGCTGCACAGCAAAGGGGCAGGACCCTGGAAAGATCCTTCGTTGTTAAACTCACGCCCTCCCATTTCCCACAAGAGGAAAGTGAGGCCCAAGAGGACGGTGACACGACTAGGGTCCCCCTGCAAGGCAGCAAGCGCTCCCGATCCCCAGACGCCCTCTGCCTCCCAGACGATGCAGCTCTGGGGCCTGGCCGAGCCTTCCCAGGGCCGTGACCTCGGCTCCCTCGTAGGCCGACTGCTGCTTTCCCAGGCGTCTTCAGGATTAAGTGCTGCATAGGCATGCCTGCCTCAAGTGCCCATGGCCTCTGCCTGCTCCAGGCTACCTGAGGGCCTGCAGCCACCTCCCTTGCACCCCGCCAGCCTAGAATTCCCACGGCACAACTAGGAGGTCGTCCCTGGGCACACAGGAAAAGGGGACATGCTGGAAGCAGGGAAGGGTGAACACCCGACGTGTCTGCTCAACTCTCTGGAGTCCAGCGGGCTGTGGGAATGAGGGGAGAGGCCTCGACATCCCAGATCCACATGGACACTGACCCCCGGAACTACCAGTTTCCCAGGTGAACTCGTGTCCTTGGCCGAAATGCCCCCCAGCAGGAGCCTTTGACAGCAAGTGCTTTCCTTTACTCATCTGCTCCTGACCCAGACACAGCCTTTCCTTCCCCAGGGGTTGGACGCTTCGAGAGACAAAAGAGTACTAAGACTGGCGTGGGGACCTGAATCGAGGTGACCCGGGCCTGAACCCCAGCGCTGCTACTTGCTGGCTGCAATACCACTTGCGCCTCAGTTTCCCGGGTGTGGAATGGGTGTGATGACAGCAGCACCTGGCTCCCTGGAGTGCTGTGCAGATTGTGTGAGATAATCCGCACAGAGCACCTGCCTGTAATGAGTACTCAATTAAGCTCTGGTCATTGCTCGTGATGTCCTGGACCAAAGAGCCGTACGGCTGCTTTAGCCACCTCCAGAGAAGGCCGCCCTCTGTTCCTCCAGGGGAGAGTATCTGTCACTGCCCAATTCATGACTCAGGTCCCCACTGCAGAAGGGGAATTGTGGCCAGAAGGTTAAGTCACAGGCTCAGTGTCATGTCTGGGGGTCCCTGGTGGGAAGTAAGGAAAAGGAAGCAAAGATGGGCAGAGATCAAGGTGGTGGGTAGAGGGGGTTCCTGGGAGCAGGCCTTTCCTCTACACATTCCTCCTAAGGACCCCTGCATTACGACACTCATGGTCCTGAGCACTCAGGCCCCATGCTAGATTCTCTCCACAGCCCTCAGAAAGGCGTTGTTTGTGCCCATTTTTCAGATGAAAACACTGAGGCTCAGAAGTGGGGAAGGTTCTTCTCAGGGTCACACAGTGAATCAGCGGCAGAGGGAGGATTAGAACTCCAGTTGTGTGACTTGTAAGTCAGGGTTCTCTGAGCCTGCCCAGCCCTCCCTGAGCTTCTGCCCCCCCTTACTCCTTCTCCTTCAGGTTTTCTCCTACCTTGAGTCTGACATCGCTGGTGCTGCCCTGGCCCTGGGCCAGGTCGGGGCAGCTCTGGCCACCCCAGGGCCTAGGAAGAAAACATAGAGGAAGAGGATGGAGTAGTCCCTTCCTGTCCTTGGCCATCACCCCTGACTGGGTCCGGCTGCCCTTTCCCCAAACTTCTCTCAGGGCACACAGACCAGGAGCAGGAGCCTTGCAAACCTCGGGGGAACACCTATGTGGTGGCCTCTTCTGTTCCCTCCCGCAGCTGACTGCCCCATCCTCGGAGTTAGAGAAAGGGACTGGGATGGGCTGGGATCAAACTGGGGACCAGTCCAGCGTGGTGGCGGACACCAGTAATCCCAGCGCTCGGCAGGCTGAGGCAGGAGGAGCATGAGTTTGAGGCCAGCCTGAACTGCATAGTGGGACCCTGTCTCAAAAAACAAAAACAAAACAAAGAAGTAGAGGGGAGGACCAGGCCTGAATCAGGCTCAGAACGGAGGGAGGACAGTGCTTTGGTGGCTCCAAAGGTCCATATTTGCTGAAGCCATCCTGAGGCCAAGCTGGGCACTAGGTCTCACACCCCCACGGTCACCATTAAGCCTCACAATATTCCTAGCAGGGGGGTGTCAGTGCTCTCATTTTTCAGATAAGGAAACTGAGGCCCAAAGTGACTCGCTTGGAGTCACACAGCTAGTGAGCTTTGGAGTTAGGCCACAAGGACGGTCCCAACCAAAGGTCAGCGGTCATTACTGCACTAAAGGGAGCAAGATGAGGAAGTACCTTGTCCCTGCGTCCCACCCCCACCCTGGGCAATCGGGGGATCAGAGGCCTGTGCCTCAGGTGGGGATCCCCTTTCCACGGCTGACAGGAACTGATCCACGTGCAAACATGGCCTGTGTCACCAAGTCAGCCCTGCAGCCCCTCCCCGCCTCCGTCACTCCTGACTCACTGCACCCCCAGCCCGCCTGCTCTGCGAGTGGGGGAAGGGAGGGCGAGGACCGCCCAGGCCTATAGGGCTGGTTTCTGCCAGACAGGGAAAAGGGAGAGGGCGTGTCTTCCCGGGGCGGGTGGGCAGGGTACTGGTAGAGTGTGGGCACCCCAGGGCAGCTAGGGCAGCCTAGCTTCCAGACTAGACCCACCCCTCTCTAGGGTGAGAGAGCAGCACAAACCCCTCCTTTCACCCGCCCCCACCTCGCCTCACCCCTCCTGCGGAGGCTGAAGACAGCTGTGTGATAAGATCGGAACAAATTGCCGGGTAACTGCATAGCCACACAAACACCGCACCGCTGACAGCACATGCCACACACTGCCAGCAGAGGGCCTGTGAGCTACTGGGCCCTCTTGGATTTTCATTCCCGCTTAGACAGACACCCGCTACCAGGAATGCCCAGGCAGGTGAAGCAACTTGCTCAAGGTCACCAGGCCAGTGGCACCAGGCTTAGGAGTCTGGCAAGTCTCCAGGGCAACAGAGCTCCAGGATGTGAGCTCCAGAGTCAAGACTGCAGCTGAGTGTATCCCAGCTCCGCCACTTCCCGACTGTGTGACTGCGGGCGGGTGACTTCACCTCTCTGAGCCTCCATTTCTGGATCTGAATCACAAGCAATACCTCATGGGGCTGCCATGAAGATTGCATGAGCTAATCCGACCAAACCACGAAAGCAAGTGGCGAATAAAGGTTTATTGTTATTACAACCGAGAGCTGTCTCCAGGTGAGGACGAACGCGGTGCCGTCCTACAAGGCAACTCGGAATCTATAGACTCCCGAGAACAGGACACAAAGACCAGAGGCACATTGACCTGTGATGTGGAAAGCAAAGTCCACAGCGGCAGGAGGAACTGCCACGTTTGCCTTTAAACTGTCTCTAGGGAAGAAATCATGAAAGCATCAAAGTTGTTTTAGGGTTTTACTAGAAGGCACAGACGTTCCACAACCACGGATCCAAAGTCGTGGTACATTGGACACATACATTGTTATGCTCGAGACACTCAGTCATGCTGATCTGAATGCTCATAACATTCTAATACACTTGGACAGGCAGAAACAGACAGACAGATACCTCTAGGCCTCCCATCCCCCCACCCCTACCCCCACTCCCGCCTTTCTGCATCTCCCCTCACCTATCCCGGGGTCCGGCCTCCTCTGAGGTCTCCTTGCCCCTGCGCTCCCTCCGGGCCCCTAGTCCAGCCAGCAGGCGGGCCAGGCGGGCCCCCAGCCCCCCACGCCGCTCGGTCATGGCGAGACCAAGGCCCCGGGCTTGGGCAGTCGGGACACCTGACCACTGGGCCTCCCGGATCCGCGGCATCCGCGGAGAACACCTCCTCCGGCCCGCCCCTCCCGCCCCTCCTGAGCAAACAGCGGCCCCGCCCGGAAGCGTGGCGGCCCGGACCTGACCCAGATGCTGCCAATGCCCTGAGCTGGGGTTCCCTCGGGGAACTGCGGCCCCGGACACTCTGCCCGAGCCCCATCCCCACTCCGTCCCTGCTCTCTGCTCCGTCCGCGCTGCTTCTTCAGGCCTCTGCAGGCGATAGGGGCCGACCTGGTGCGCGCACCCAGCCAGCTGGCCTGGCGGGAGGTGGGAGCGGGAAGAGCGTACTCGGGTGAGCTGGGGCCCGGGAGGCGTGGCTGAGAAGCGGCTCCCTGGAGCGGGACGGGGCCGGGGCGGGGCGGGAACGGGCGTGGTCTTGCCGGCTGGGCGTGGCCTAACTCCGGGCCCCAGGGGTGATCAGCGTGGCCTTGGGGCCTCCGCTGGTGGTGCAGTCGAAGCCCATGCTGCCTGCCCCGCCGTGGTGGTCTCCCTGCGAGGATTCTTCTGTCCTGGAGCCACCAGCGACCCAGAGCGGGAATCTCGCTCCACACCACGGTGGGGAAGCGGCACCCAACCCACGCAGCCCCCTGCCGGAAGTCGGTGGGAGAAGTCCCTGCTGTCTGAAAATTAGTCTTCAGTAATAGCGTTCGTTTACCGTGGCTATAACCTCGGCCTCCTTGCTCCCGTCAGTGCTCTTTCCCACATGACAGCCTGGCTCACGTGTGTGTGTGTGTGTGTGTGTGTGTGTGTGTGTAGACCTTGAACTTTTAAGGGGATCTCCTGGAACCCTAGGGAGGTAGGTCTCAGGAGAGTCCCGATCCCGGCCCTCGGCCAGTTCTTCCCTGCCCGCAGCTATCGTTTCCTGAGCTCGGCACTCCGTTAGCCCTTGCCCTCCGTGGTAACTAGTCCTAGCCTACAGGGGCATCGTGCCTATGGGTCACGAGTGGGCAGTGCCATCTTGGGTCCCGTTTCTTGGTGCCTGGAGGAGCACACCACACCTGACTGCGGCAGGATGGGTCAGCTGAGGTTGCAGATGGCTGAGTGGGGACCGAGAGAGCAGTGAGGGGAAGCAGCAGGGGGACCTCTGCACAGGTCTTGGGAAAGCTGTTCAGAAAAGAGGGCAGTGCACCCCATGCTGGAGAGCGCAGCCTGCGCCCGGCAGAGTCCTGAAGGGCTGGAGTGTCCATTGGTGAGCTGAAATGGAGGGCTGCGTTTCAGACTGGTCACAGACAGGGAGCGGAACCCAAACCCAGCCTTAGTAGATGGCTCAGGTAAAGTGTGAGGTCTGGCAGTGCACGCCGACCCCCTCACTGCGAAAGCACAGGAAGCCTCAACTCATCATTTTGAAAATCCTTTAATTGCTCTGCCCCTGCCCTCTCCCCTGAGCAGACCCGGCTCAGGCTGGCTGCCCTTGCTTTCCCTGGAGTACCGAGGACACCTGAACCCTGTCCACATCCCGACCCATCGGCTTCTCTGAGGGCTCCCCGACAAGATCCAGTGCTCACTGGTGCCACTGGGCAAGGCAGGTGAGAGAGGCCAGGGGCAGGTGGGAGTAAACCAGGCTGCAGGGCGGTGGAGCGTGCAGCAGATGGTGCAGATGGCCGTGCTGGGTGAAGCGGCTCGGGCAGACCCTGCATGGGAAGGGCTGGACCCCGGAGTGCAGGCGCAGGTGGGTCTTGAGATTGCTAGAGCTGCTGAAGCACTTGTGGCACATCTGACAAAAATGGGCACTAGCGTCAGCTCTGTCCTCCAGGCTGGCCTGGGGTCTCTCTCCCTCCCCGTTTTGGAAGCCTTCCCTACCCATCTCCCTTTCAGTGCAGGCCAGGAAGCTTTCCCTGGCTTTTCCCTCCCTGGAACCCAGGGTATCTGAAACGTGAAAGCTAGGCAGACCCAGGCCAGCGCCCTTCTTTGACTCCCTGTATGATCTTTTTTCTTTTTTTTTTTTTTTTGGTACCAGGAATCGAACTCAGGGCCTTGTGCTTGCCAGGCAGGCACTTGTGCCACTGAGCTATATCCCCGGCCCTTCTGTGTGATCTTGTGCAAGTGAGTTCTCTCTGAACCTTCCTCTTTCCTTATCAGTAATGTGTGACTATTAATTCCAAACTTCATGCACTGAGGTGGACTGAATGAGATGATCACATAGAACACATATGTAAGGCTGCAACATCAGTGGATGCAATAAACATTTACTGGGGGCTGAACATGCCAGGAATGAGTCTCATGGGCTTCCCCAGGAGGTCCTCTGAGCCTCTGCTCGGGAGGAAGCCACTAACCAGGGATCACACAGCAAGTTGGAACACAGCTAGGATCTGTATGTAGCCTTGACTCCGAACCACTGCACTGCTCTCACCTCTGCCCTCTGGCCTCTCAAGGGGTAGGCTCAGGCTGGAAGGAGGGACCTACATGGATCTAATGCTGTTCCTACTTGGATACTTTGTAACTACTGCGGCCTTAATTTGTCCCACAATCCTGGGAGCTAAGTAATGGCTATGAATTCTTCAGGACCCCAACTTCATTGCTCTCACCCCTCTGCCAGGAGCACTCACCCCAACCCCAGGTGGGTCATTTCACCTTCCTCCAACTCCCATTCCTAGCTCTACCCAGTCCTGCCCTTCTGGTCTCCACTCGCTCAGAGGACCGGGGCACGGGTGCTTAGGTGCCATCCCCCCAGGGCGTACAGCTCCTCCCCAGGCGGCAGGAGACAGGGAGGGGAGGAGGGTCTCACCTGGCACTTGTGGGGCCGCTCCCCAGTGTGCACCAGATGGTGCTTCTGCAGGTGGGCAAACTGGGTGAAGCTCTTCTGGCACAGGGCGCACTGGAACGGCCGCTCCCCGCTGTGCACGCGCAGGTGGACCTGGGCCAGGTGTGGGAGAAACGCTGCCGACGGCCCTGAGCCACAGCAGGGCCAGAGGTCCTCTCCAGATCTCTGCCTGGCTCCACGCAGCACCCCTTGTTGGCATGCAGACCTCTCCATCGCCCCTCCAGACCTTTCTGTCACCTCTGGGATACTCCCACTTTCTCTGCTCTGCTATTCAAAGTATGATCCATAGACTAGCGGCATCACCTTGGAAGCTCGCTAGAAATGAAGATTCTCAGGCCTCACCCTAGACCTGCTGAGGCAAAAATCTTTGGGGCCAGCGCCTGGAAATCCGCAGGTTTATTAGTTGTCCAGGTTGTTTGAAAGTCACTAAAGTTTAAGAACTCCTGCCCTAGGGGCCGGGGATTTAGCCCAGTGGCACAGCGCCTGCCTGGCAAGCTCTAGGTTATAAGTTCAATTCCCTATACCGGAAAAAAAAAAAAAACAACTACTGCCCTTGAGAAACCAATAGCCCTGTTCCCCAAAAGCCGTAACTTTTCTTTGAACTTTTTGGTGGTGCCAATTTGCTCATAGCTTCCTGTCTTTGATTAACAGAGCTATCCGCCTACGCGCGCCCCCTGCTGGACAATGCGGGTGATGACACCAACAACGCTGGGGCATCCCACTTGAAAAAGGTTTGCGTCAGTTTTGTGGTCCAGAGTCACCGAAATCTACCCATTCCACCATTTGAGCTTCAAACAAAATAAAGAAACTTAACTAGGAAAGAGCTCTGTGGTTGTCTGGCAAAGAGCTTTGCATTAGATGTTGAGAGGTGGAAATCAGAGCCTAGCCTCACCGTCTCCCAGTACACTGGGAAAACCCTCCACACTGGGAGAGGCCAGTTTCCTCATTTTAGCTTAAATGAATTGCTCTCACAGACAGTCTTCTAGGGCGGGGAGGACTTTCTTGGAGCCCTCTTATCCTGTATCTCCACCCAGGTGAACTGACCCAGGTCACTCTGCGCTAGGGGACGCTGGGGAATGCTCTCCCGCTCTCAGACCTTCTTTTTTGTTTGTTTGTTTGTTTGTTTGTTTGTTTGTTTTCCGGTACCGGGAACCGAACTCACAACCTTGCACTTGCCAGGCAGGCGCTTTGCCGCTGAGCTAAATCCCCAGCCCCGGCTCTCAGATCTTGATTCTGAAAACCACCAGCAGGGAAGGGGCTCATTGAAAGAGGGGGATAGGGCCAGGGATGTAGTTCAGAGGCACAGTGCCTGCCTGGCAAGCACGAGGTCCTGAGTTCGATTCCAGACACCAAAAAAAAAAAAAAAAAAAGATGAGGGGGTGGAAGGGGAGGGGACGGGTGCAGAGGCAGAGCCAGGAGGCAGGTACCTTCAGGTTGGAGAGCTGCCCAAAGCTCTTGCTGCACACGTTGCACTCATACAGGATTCTGCCGTTTTCCTTCTTCAGCGGGTAGGGGAGAGCTGCGGTGCCCACCCGGGGGCCCATTGAGGCCCGCTTCGCTGGAGCTGGCATGCCAGCACGCTCCGTTCCCGGGGAGGGGGCTGGGACAGCTCCAGGGCCTGGATCCCGGGTCTGGGAAGGCAGGGTGGGGCCAGAAGCTTGGAAGGCCCCAGGGTTGAGAAGTAGGGTCTCCCCTCGGGGGGTGTTGGGGTGCTCGGGGGCAGTGGCCGTGGTCAGCAAGCTGGGTGCAGCCAGGGTGGAGTAGGTGGCGCCCTGGGGCAGCACGAAGAGGTGGGGACATTGGACAGAAGGCAGGGCCCCGTAGGTGAACAGGTAAGGTGGAGGCAGGAGAAGCGGGTAGCGGGGGTAGAAGGGGAGGAAGTGGAGGGGGAGCTCCCTGGAGATGGGGGTGGGGGCAGGGCGGGGGCAGAACGCGCCCGGGCCAGAGCTCTTTCTGTTCAGCTGGGTGGTTGGATGGGAGCTGTTTTGAGGAGCCAGGGCCAGGCAGGGGGCCCCTTGGCCAGCTGTTTCGGGCTGCCTTTCCGTCTTGTCGCGGCTTACTGGGTACTTGGCTGTGAGCTTTTCATCACCCGTGGAGCTGGCGTGCAGCCCCGGGGCCTGGTGCTCTAAGCAAGAAAAGGAATAAAGTCGGGTCTTCATGGCCGGGGGTAAAGGTCTGTCGCCCACGCAACCTGCCTGCCTGGCTGGGAAAGAACTCTAGCCTGCAGGCCAGGGTGGCGGGGAGCAACTTGGGCAAGGCGCCCCCCTCGCAGAGCTTCAACTTCCCCGCTGCTATTGCACTTGCCAGTGAAAACTGCTAGTCCTGCTGTACTGCTCAGCAGTTTGAGACAGACAACACAGTTCCAAAAGCCTGTTAGACGACCTGGTAGACAAGTCAAGTGGGCAGTTGGAAAATTGGAGTTCGAAGGAGAGGTCTGAACTGGAGACATCAATTTGGCCACTGGCCAGGTGTGGTGGCACACACCTGTAATCTCAGCACATGGGAGGCTGAGGCAGAAGGATTGCTGAGAGTTTGAGGCCAGCTTGAACTGCATAGCAAGGCCCTGTCTCAAACCAACTAACTAAATAAATAAATAAATAAATACATAAATTTGAGTGCCTTAGACCCAGATGAGATCACACAGGGTGACACTATATTTGTGTGTCCAAAGTGACAGCTGCTGTACACATGTGAATAACTTTACATTAAACGTAAGTTTAAACTGGACATGGTGGTGCATGCCTGTAATCCTAGAACTCGGGAAACTGAGGCAGGAGGATCCCCAGGAGTTCAAGACCCTAACTCAAACAAACAAGTAAAGCATCAACAACAGAAAGTTTTAATTAAAATTGCACTTTCTCTGTTCCACTAGCCACACTGAAAGTGTTCGGTAGGTTCTGGTATTGGACAGCACAGGTATAGGATGTCCCTACTGTTGGAAAAACTCTGTCAAACAGTGCTATTCTAAGACAAAGAGAACAGGAGAGGGGCAGAAAGAAAGGACAGTATGGGGGGAGAAGGTGGGAGGGCAGGAAATGGAAGGGGAAGAAGGAAGAGAAGAAGACAAGAGAGGAGAAGGAAAGAAGAGAGAAGAGGAAGAGAGGGAAGGAGTTTGACTGAGTTTGAGGATTAGAAATATTTAGAAGGTAAGAAGAGCAAGCAAGGGAAATGAGCTATCACACTGGTGAAGTAGGATTAAGGCAACTAGTAAAGAGTAAAGTCCTAGGGCTAGGGGTGTAGCTAAGTGGTTGAGCCCTTAGTATGTGCAGGGCCTTGGGTTCAATCCCCAGCACTGGAAAAAAAAAAAAAGTAAGGGCCGGGGATGTAGCTCAG